CTGAAGCTCCGCTGAGTAAAGCAGGTTTCTGGGTTTTTTTTAGCTTCTTTATTCGCAACATAGTTGCTGAGAGTTGCAGCTGAGAGGCTGGCAAGTCAGATGGGGAACATTGGAGTTCTCCGTCACTGAAGCAAGCAAGCCTCCCTGTTTGCATCAGCTGCCTGGCTGCTGGCCGCCATCTTGGCTGCCAGTTAATTTGCATATCTCGGCCCTACTCTGTGAGTGACAGGGGGATTAGCCAATGTGAAGGGTAGCGGTCGTATGCCAATTACCATGTTTCTCTTTTATTAGTGTAGATAATAATTCAGAAAGTTATACATTTGTTTTGTGCTCTTTCCCATTATATTTCATAGTAAAGGGATTTGAACATTTTAAATAAAAATAAATGTAAACACTGTCAAAGTAAATTGTTCTACAACTCCCTTTCTTTTCAGTATAAAAACCACTTGGATAAACTCCTAACAGGATTAATAATCATAGCAAAGTGTGCTGGTTCAGCATCCTAAAGGACAGTGAACCCTGTCCTAGTTAAGAACAGAGTTTGACTAGAGTCAGAGACTAGAATTTAATACCTGGCTTTGCCTGTAACTGCTAGGAAACGACTTGGGCTGGTTACTTGACCTCTTGGTACCTCCTTTTCCTCATTCATAAAATGAGAATAATGTGACTATCATAGGGTTATTGTCAGGATAAACAAGCTACTACTGTATATGCAAGATGCTCAGAATAGAATCTGGCAGATAGTAAGCACGTAAGAAGTAACAATTATTTTTAATACTGTAAAATCACACAAAAATATGTTAAGACAAGCTTGCCAAATTTGATAATGGATAGCAAATTTGATAATGGAGTTGTAAGCACAAGTTTCCACACTAATCCAAGCCATCATTATCTTGAACCCAACTACTATAATATTCCCCTAACCAATTTCCTGCCTCTTATCCCCTCCAAATTCGCCTTTAAAAATATTACCATTGTGCTTTCAACTCTTCACTGGCTTCCCCTTACTCCTCAAAATTTCTTTAACAAGATCTCTAGTCCTGCCTATGTCTGCAGGCTCACCAAACAATTGAAACGAAATAACTAGTCTCTTAATTTTGGCATTACCATGGTTCTGCTTTACAGTATTTAGCAAAATTTACTTCATAAAACTCAACACATGAAAAATGTCAAATCTGAGATTTTATAAGGTTTGTGACATTCACAACATAGATGCTTCTATTTCAAATTTAGTCAATTATCTTTTTAAAATATGTACTGGGAATTTACAGGTGCAGCTATGGAAATATACCCAAGATACACTGTTTTTGGTGTTGGTTCTTTTTGGCATGATGCTGAACGGTATGTAGAATATAAATTTTTTCTTGTTTAAAAAAAATCTGGAGTGGAAGTAGACTGGAACATGTATACTGACAAATAAATAAACTGAAGGTTAAGGGATAGGAATAAACATTTATTTATATTTACCCCCTTCTGTATATTGCTCAAAAAATTTTATTATATATATAAAATACATATTTTATTATTTTATATTTAACTATTTTGTACGTTTTACTTTTAAAATTTTTTAAATAAATGTTTAAAAGATTAACCAGAAAATAAGAAAGTTAGTACTAGTTGAATTGAAATAAATAATTTTCATATTTACTCTCCCTCACATTCCTTCAAAAACAAAATAAACCATTATGATTCTTAAGCAGCTAGATTAAAGTTTTCCAGCCACCATTTCCCTGATGACCAAATCAAAAAAAGAAAAGAAAATTCTAATTATGATCACATTCAGTTAAGAAGTTAGGGTAAGATCCAAGTTAGTCCCAACTAATCCCTATATATGAAAATTAAACTCATTCCTACCTTGATTTGACAATCTCTTTTTCATATATGTCTTCAATGACCTGTTATTAAAAATATAAAAAATGTTTACTATATCAAACATTTTTTCAGACCCTAAATAGTTTTCAATTACTGAGAATTACAGAAAATACTTTGGTTTAGAAAAGCCATAAAATATTATTGCCATTGAAATAATACTTAAGAAATTTTTCATAATCCCATCACTTTCTTCAAAATGTAATAACAGAAAGCAAAATAGTAGGAAAACATAAATAATAAAAAGAGCCCTAGAAAGAATCATTACAATTACATGTTCAAACTTAAGTGTCCTTTGATGGGTGACTGGATTAAAAATGTGATTCGGCCCATGTTTCTCAGTGGTTAGAGTGTTGGCTCCACACTGAAGTATCAAGGGTCTGATTCCCAGTCAAAGGCAGGTACTAGGGTCTCAGGTTTGATTCCTGGCCCAGTTGGGACATGTGTAGGAGGCAACCAATTGATGTGTCTTTCTCACATCAATGTTTCTCTCTCTCTCTCTCTTGCCACCCCCCCCCCCCCTTCCACTCTCTCTAAAAATCAATGAAAAAAATATCCTCAGGTGAGGATTAACAAAAACAAAAAAACAAAACAAAACAAAATGTGGTATGGCCCTGGCTGGTTGGCTCAATTGGTTGGAGCATTTTTCCATATACCAAAAAGGCTGTGGGTTCAATTCCTGGTCAGGACACATACCAAAGTTGCAAGTTCAATCCCCAGTTGGGCGTGTATGGAAGGAAACAGATTGATGTTTCCCTCTCACATGGATGGTTCTCTCTCTCGCCCTTCCTAAAATCAATAAAAACATATCCTGGGTGAGGATTTAAAAAAAAAGCGATACATACATATATATATATGTAAATGCTACTCTTCGATAAGAAAGATGAAATACTTCTATTTATAACAACATGGATGGATTTCAAGAATATCATGGTAAGCCAAGTAAGTCAGTCAGAAAAAGATAAAAACCATATGATTTCATTCTCTTGTGGGATATAAAACAGAAAGCAACAAATGAACAAAGAATACAAACAAACAAAAACCTCATAGACACAGACAACACAGTATGGTGGTTAACACAGGATAGGAGGTGGTAGTAAAATGTAAAGGGGGTCAAATATATGGTGACAGAAGATATGACTTTGGGTGATGGACACACAATGCAATATATACATCATATATTACAGAAATATACACTTGAAAGTTATATAACCTTATTAACAAATGTCACCCCAATAAATTTAATTTAAAAACAATTTATTTGCATTATTTCTAGGGAAAATAAAAGTTTATAAGATCAGGATCTTTTTTAAAACTTAATTTTAAAGTGCATAAATATTAACAGACTCAGTCTAATGTAAATTGTGCTTTAAAAAGTCAGAAAGAAAGAAAATAAAAAATGTAAAGATATAATGGAAGCAAATGCTATTTGTTACACAGTTTTCCAAATACATAATGATAAAGCCTCAGAATTTCTATTTTTTTAGGTCAGGGTAGGCAGAATAGTGTAATACTTAAGAATTTAGGCTCTGGAGTTGGAAGCCTGGTTCAAACCACCCATCTCCACTGCTGATGCTAGGACACAAAAAGATATAATACAAAGTACCCCATGGTTGCTGTAAATAAGACAACACATGCAAGGAATTTAGTACAAATCCTGGCATACGGTGAGCCTTTAATAGTTATCAGCACAAATAATAGTAGCACTAGTCATAACTAAAAAAAAAAAAATTCCTACTGGAATTTCTTGGCTGGTTTGGCTCAGTGCATAGAGCATCGGCCTGCGGACTTAAAGGTCTCAGGTTTGATTCCAGTCAGGGGCACATACCCAGGTTGCGGGCTTGATCTTCAGTGGGGTGTATGAGGGGGGCAGCCAATCAGTGATTCTCTCTCATCACTGATGTTTCTCTCTCTCCCTCTCCTTTCCTCTCTGAAATCACTAAAAATATTTTTAAATATTTTTTTACTTCCTACTGTAAAATTATGAAGTGCTTTAACATGGTATAATATATTATTATTTTATGGTAACTGTAATGTCTTTTAACTGCTCAGAGTATATTTGTTAAATAAATGTGGGTGGTGGAGGGAGACAATGAGGCAAGCAAGTCTTATTCGATTTATATGAGATTTTCTGTTATTGCTTTTCTTTTTACCAAAATTCAAATCATATAATAAAGTGAAGGGCGTAATCTTCCTTAAATACTAACCCGTAATAAAGTTCTCTAAATAGGCATATGTAAGTTCATCTGGAATTATTATTTGTGTTAACTAAAACAATCTGGATATAAATTTAATTTCTAAAAAAAACCCCAACAACCTAAATATAATTAGGTTAAACTCAATCTAGTAGTGTCATCAATATGTTTTTGTTATTAATAAAAATGTTCCTAGGAACCCCCATACCCAACATTTAGAAACACAAACATGTATACAAACAGCATATAATAAGAGAAAGCAACCTTCTTGATAATTAAGAATAACTAATATATGCCATGTATATTAATATCTTCCTAATGAATAAAATGGGGTTGATGACAAAATGTATTTAAAATATTTAAGCTTAACTAATGTCAGAAATTTTGGATTAAGTTGGACTAAGGGTACCTTAAACAACACAATTCAACTTATAATGGCAAAGCCTAAAACCAAGTCTTCATTACATGTTAAAAGGCATGTAAACGGTCAGCCCTATTTCATTTAAAGACCTCTCTTTAAGAACCTATTTCAATGAGAGTTAATTCTACATTTAGGAATTTTTTCCTTTCATTTATTCTAAATTGCATCAACTGCATCTTAAGTCCATTCCTTTCCTTATTGACTATTACTGGTCTTTAGTCATCTATCTTCTACATTAAACTCCCACTTCCTTCACCATTATTAACGATCTTTATCTCAGTTCACCAACCTAAAAATAAAAAACAATAGATTCTATTCTAAATAAACTGGCAAAAAGTTGTAGAAAAATTTCTGCATTTTTACAAAGATTTTCATTACATTGTCATTTATAATGATGATAAATTTAAAACAATCTATGCATCTTAAACAGGAAAATCCACATACATTTTTTTAAAGCTTAAAGAAATTCAACAAAATGATAGTAGAGGTTATCTCTGGGTAGTAATTTTTATTTTCTTTATGTGTGCCTTCCATATTTTCCAAATTTTCTAATATGAATATTAGTTTGATAATTAGAAAACTATAGTTTTAACTTTTAAAAGTATGTTGCAAACTCAAAATGCTTACCTTTATATCAAAAGGTGATTTTTTCTTGATATGGGGAGCCCAGTATTTACATGCCAACTGCAAAAGTAAACAGTAAGTCAGACTGATACATAGACTGATACTGAGATCTCTCACTGACAAGCTGTTTCTTAACAGGGCACTACTGACACTGCGGGGCAGAGTAATTCTACCTTCTAAGGGTCTATATGGCTTCCAGGCCAGTTCACAGCCTTTGCCACAAACCACTAAATGCCATTAATGCCCTGCACTGCAACCTACCACTGTGATTTAAAAAAACATACTTTTTAACCACCCATAGGGAAACAACAGAGCAAAGTGAACAACCTTAGTCAAGCATCTTCAGCACAGAGATAAGGAAACCAGGTCTAGAAAGATTAAGTGAGCTGCCAGATAGTACAATGAGTTAACAGCTGACCAGTACTGAAAACCAGAATCAAAATCTTTGGGAATATTAATTTATAAAATAAACCTTTAAATTATTAGTACAAACTCATCCCATACACACCTAAACAAAACCTTAAAAAAAATTGTAGTCTATCAGTGGGTTATTATAGAGAATAAGAGTTGGTAGGTTAAAAAACAAAAAACAACAAAAAAGAGTTGGCAGGTTATATTTCAACATATGAGGTTTTACCTAAAAACTGTGAATTTTACACATATATCTACAATGTATCCAGTTACTTAGATGAATTGTATAATAAGAAACAACATGGTCTTACTGAGATACTGTTGTTGTTTTTTTAAAAAAAGAACCTAAACTATAATCTCTTGAAAAATAGAAAACATTGTCAATGACAAAGACTCAGTATATTTCTAAAACGGTTCTATGCTGGAGGCACACAAATTATAGCTGATGAATGGATGAATGACGTAAAATCTGAAATGTTACCTCTTCTATGAGGCCTTCTTCAACCCTACCTGATGGTGACCATAGTCTTGTCTTTCTGTATTATTATTTGCTTGCTTATCTATCTTTCCTGCCCACTTAATTGGAACACTTAAGAGATGGGACCTATGTCTTCTTTGCTACTACGGCTAAGTTTCTATCACAGTTGACACACTTAAAGAGCCTCCCAAGCAGCGAGAACATTGAGTCTGAGAAAGTCTCAAAAACATTACCGTCATACCCCACTCACACGACACTTACCCAAATTATCAATCACCTTAAAACCCAAGAGAAAACACTTTAGCCCCGATTATTCTGTGGTATTCTCACTTCCTCATTCTACTCCGTATCGGCATCACAAAACTCAGCCATCTTTTCCTAACATCATACCATTAAAAGAACTGAATCTTGCCGGAAGCCGGTCCATTCTTGCTGCTTGACACAGTCGCTGCAGGAAAGAAACATCTGCACAGCATGTTTCAAGGGACCTGGCGTATATGGCATGCTGTTCTTAATATGTTTTCTTCCCC